AAAAGTATGGGAAGCATTTTCTCTTCAAGTGGGCATCACAACTGCATTATTTGCTGCTCAGTTACAACTAGAAATTGGAACGAACTGGAAGCAACTTAGTTTGAAGCCCCAAATGTGAATTAATATTACTTTCTACTCAGTATTACTTTCTACTCAGTTAAAACGTGCAGGTCCTTACTTTTCAATGCTTCTTCATGTATGTGTATATCTATGTGTACTTCCCTTTAGATCTTTTGAGGGCAGCAGCGGTTATACAAGCCTGGCTTCCTAGATCAGATATATCCCAAACCAGAGTTGCATTTTCGACAGAATGTTGCGCAAAATGTGGAGAACAGTCCCTTGTGCGGTCCCAAATTTGGGCCTTCTGTGGGTGTTTTTGGAGCACTCCATACTACAGCCCAGAAGCCAGCCGGCCACTGCTGTGGGCCACACGTCTTTTGCATGTTATCGTCTGTTTCTGCTGCGTGGCATTCCCATTATTTCCTTGTTTACCGACTTGCTCACTGTCATTCCTGTAGAAAGTAGACCACCGCGACGTATCTTTCTTTTTTTCTGCTGACATACTCCTGGCCCATACATGCAAGAAACAGGACCACGGACACTGCACGTCGCAAGAGTTAAATGGCATTAGCAGCAGCATCAAAGCGTCATTTTCCTCTGGAAGCAAATCAAGCAGGAAGTAGAATGGCCAGGCAGAAGCAGTCAAATTGGTCTCTGCAGCAGCAGAAGCGCCAGACACATCTGAATACTGCTGCTCACACTGTTGACCAATACTGCATTTCGTTTGCGCTCGCCAGAAAGAACACAATGTCGCAATCATGCAGGAAGTAGAACGGCCAGGCAGAAGCAGTTAAATTGGCCTCTGCAGCAGCAAAAGCGCCAGACACATCTGAATACTGCTGCTTGCACCGTTGACCAATACTGCCAGAAAGAACAGATTGACGCGACCATGCAGGTAGTCGAACGGCCAGGCAGAAGCGGTTAAATTGGCTAGACAGAGGAGATACTTAAGGCGCATTCAACGAATAACACATCTGTTTTGTGGAAGATTTACGCTATGATGGCTATGGGGAGACATGCCTCAGCAGCAGCAAGCAGCAGCATCACACGGCAAACAGCACACATCAAGCAGAAACCAGCAGCGCAATGCAGCAGCAAAAGGCAGACAACATACAGCAAGCAGCGGCCAGCACCACCTCGCAGCAGCAAACCGCAGCAGCTAGTCGCAGCACCTAGCAGCATCAGCAAACGGCAAAGAGAAAAATGCAGGAAGCAGCAATTAAGGATCACAAAGGAGCAACAGCAACAGGGAGCGGCCGCAGTATCAACCTAGGCATTTCCAGGGTGGCTAGTGACGGTTGGACTGCACTTAGTGACCCAACAGCTCCTCATCAAGCGTGGCACTTCGCGAAAAGTTGAGTAACTGTGTGGCCTTGGTAACTTGATGGAACAAGCTGTGAAGTGAGCTGCAAGGCCGACAATCCTGGCGGACCTCTCCGTAGCTAGATTAAGCATAAGGCTCTAAGGGCTGGAATTGGCCCACGATCAGTGAAGGGTGTGCAGCAGGCATTTCTATGAATGGGAGAACGCTTTTTAAATGCTTTCCCGTGGCAAAAGCCACGTTTTGTTCACCCTGCTTCTCGGTATAAAACGAGTTAATAGAAAGGGGGTCAAACGTGCCACCATGAAAAAGGCCTAGAGAGTCTCCAACTGTATTTCTTTGGTCTGGCAGAGCTCCTCAGGCAATGCCAAAAAGAAAATGAGCTTTGAAGCAAAGACCTGCGTGCTGCCTAAGCCTGCAGCAGAAGCTGGCCCTTGGAGGTAGCCTCTCTTGGCGGGGCTTGCAGGTGCAGCTGCCGGGTCTGCCGAGAGTTCCAGGAAGATGAGTGTCTTCGAGGTTTGCGTCGAAGGTCCCTTCAGTGTTTATTGGGTTCATGGCTTCTAGAATTGATGATGAGGAGGGCCAAGGTGTCCTAGCTAAGCTGTTGCCCCTTTAACGGCACTTCCGCGTCTCCAGATCACCCTAGTTTGGGCTGTAACTCCCTACAGTTCTGGACAAACTCCCACACATTTCTTTAAGCTGTGGCTGTACTTTTTACCGCTGCAAGTGGGGTCTCGCGGGGCCGCCAGCTCCAGCTGCAGCCCAACAGCGGCTGCTGCACCTCGTACTACAGTAGGCCGAAGCCTCTGCTCTTTTCCCTGTACCCGTGGTGCGTATTTTATGGTGTCTAGTGCCTCATATGGCCTTTACTTATAGCGTTGGCATTGCTTAGGGCCCAGTTTAAGTCTTGGTCATTCCCCGTTTTCAAGGACTGCCTGTAGGTTAGCTAAAAGCGAGAGTCAACAGCCCGCCCGCCTCGAGTGCAGCGTCATATTTGTCTTATTCCTTCGCGATTTCAGCAAAATGCAACAATTGAAATTTTTTTAATCGTAAATAAATGCATTTGTGTGGTTCTTTCCCAGCGCTCAATGGGAATTTCCCGCGATACTATAGCGCGTAGCGCCCACCATCGATGCTGCTCGCGCGCTGGCCTACCGCTCAGTTCAAGGGGCCACATCCCTAAATAAATGAGAAACAATTAAAATTTTATACATTTGCTCTATTTAAAACGTGCTACGGAAACGAAAACTGCCAGCAACTCGCAGATAAAGTGCAACGGCAAGGAGCACCGCCAACTGCGGGGAGTGCCTCTGCCGGTCCTCGTATCAGAGGACGTAACCTCATGATGTTTTCTGGGGGTGGCCACACAGCTGCATGCGGGACTCTTCTTCAAGCAATAAATAAATAATAATAAAACAAAACAGGGGTAACTAATATATCATTGAAATAGACTCGTTCTGCGGAGGAACAGCGAAGAACAGGATGTGCAGGTCTCAGGTGTAGCCTTAACGCCAGCAACAGCAGCAACTGCAGCAGCAGCAGCAACAATACCAGCAGCACTGAAGCGCGCATGCCGCACTGCTTCAATTAAAATATCTCCCGTTCCCGCGACTGTTTGGCGTAGCAACGGGGGCCCCACACGGGCACCTAGCGAGACAGGGGGGACTGCGTCCCAGCCGGTGGTTCCGTTTGCTGCTGCTATCTTTTTGCCTCTTTCCGGCGCTCATATCTTCTGCTGAACAGTCGCAGCCTGTCTTTGTCATCTTTGTCTCCATTACCTCCTTCTGCTGTCCCCATGGGTCTCCCCCTGCGGTAATAGCGCCAGAGGGAGCCCACGATGCCTCAGCAGCTGCCCCTGGCTCTTGCGGAGGCCCCAAACACGGAGCCCGGGCTTCCTGCAGAAACTGCAGCTCGGCCACCACCCTCGGACGCTGCCACTGCAGCAGCAGCAGCAGCAGTAGCAGCAGTAGCAGCAACAGCAGCAGCAACAGTAGGTGAAAGGTTCGTCCTGGGGCGCGGCGACACACGCAAGCGAGCCCGTGCGCTCTCTGTAGCCCTCTTCGCCACCGTAACTGTTTCTCTCAGTCTTCTCTTCCTTGTCACCAGCTGCTGGTGGCTCGTTGACCAGCGGCTGAGGGGCCCCGGGACCCCGGGGCCCCCAGGGGCCACCTGGGGGCCCAATGTTCGGCTCCTTGCGGGGGCGCCAAACCGCCACAGGATGCCCTCCAGTGCATGCGGAGATTCAGAGGGCTTCAGAAGCTGGAGCGTTGAGGGGCCCCGGGCCCCTTTCGGGGGCCCTCAGGCCCCATCTGGTGCTGCAGGGAGCTTTGGGGGCCCCGGGGCCCCTACAGACCCCCAAAGCTCACGAGGCCGGGAGTCCTTCTGGTTTCCGGGGCCCCCAAGCTTTGCCGGGGGCCCCCATGACACACGCTGGGGACCAAGGGACTTTATGCCCCCCAGAGGTTTTCAGGCCCCTTCAGGTCCGCATCTGCCACAGGAAGGCCTGCCAGCCGCACCAGGCCTGCACCGCCCACAAGGAGGCCCGGGGGGCCCCCCAGGCGAGCGTCACCAACAAGAAGGCCTGCAGGGCCCCCCAAGTTTCCAGCGCCCACAAGGAGGTCTGCAGGCCCCACCAGGCCTGTGGCGCCCACAAGAAGGCCTGTGGGGGCCCCCATCCCTGCGGAGCCCACAAGAAGGCCTGCAGGCTGCACCAGGCGCGTGGCGCTCACAAGGCCTAGGGGGCCCCCCAAGCAGCGGAGCTTCGGAAGCTTTCGAGCCCCCTCAAGGCCTGGGGCTCCCGCCACGGACTCGGCTTGCCCCAGGCCTGGGGACTGCACCCGACTTTGGGTTTCCAGAAGACTCGAGGTCCCCCCGAAGCCCTAGAGTCCCACCGGGTCTGGTGACCCCCCCAGCCTTGAATGCCCAAGGGGGCGTCAAGCCCACCTTTTCTTTTGGGTCTTTTTCGAGTTCGGGGAGTTTTTCAGGTTCGGGGCCCCCCGTAGGCCTTGACGCAAGAGAGGGGTTGGGTTCTGTAGGGGGCCCCAGACTCAACACAGGTAGCACAGGGTCCTTACAAACCTCGTCAAGTAGAAGTTCAGGGACTTCAGGGGGCCCCGCAGATCAACGGTCCTCAGGAGATCAAGGGGCCCCCGGATTTCTGGGGACCCCGCCGACTTTGGGGTTCGACTTTTCGGGGAATACGACCCGGTGGGCCCCACCAAATAAGTTGGGCCCCCCAGCCCCATGGACTAAAGGGAATCCAGATATGTCCCACAGTCATTGGTCCCCAGGACTTTTGGGGGACACGCGCGGTCGGGGGGCCCCCTGGGGTTTGGAGGCTAGTGGGGATTCGGCGGCATTGTCATCCCCGGTGTCCCAAGAGGACTCCCGCTATTCTCGGGGATCACGGCCTGTGCAGAATACGGGGGCCCTTGGGGGCCCCGGCAGCTCGGGCTCTTCAGCCTGGTTTGGCCCCGCTGGCTCTTCCTTTAAGGGCCCCCCCGCGGGGGAGCCCTGGTGGTCCGGAGGCCCCGGAAAACCCTGGCCTGCTTGGTCCCAGAGGCCCCCTGGGCCCCCAGGGTTAACTGGGCCCCCTGGTGCTCCGTGGCCGGGGTCCGTAGGCGGTCCCCCGGGGCCCTTAGCGGGGCTGCCGGGCCCCATAGGCGGGCCCCCGGGGCCCATAGGCGGGCCCCCGGGGCCCATAGGCGGTTCGCCGGGGCCCATAGGCGGTCCGCCGGGGCCCATAGGCGGTCCGCCGGGGCTCATACCTGGGCCCCCGGGGCCCATAGCTGGGCCCCCGGGGCCCATAGCTGGGTCCCCACGGCCCATAGGTGGGCCCTCAGGACCCATAGCTGGGCCCTTAGGGCCCATAGGTGGGCCCTCAGGGCCCATAGCTGGGCCCTCAGGGCCCATAGCTGGGCCCTCAGGGCCCATAGCTGGGCACCCGGGGCCCATAGGCGGTCCGCCGGGGCCCATAGGCGGTCCGTCGGGGCCCATAGCTGGGCACCCGGGGCCCATAGCTGGGCCTTTGGGGCCCATAGCTGGGCCCCCGGGGCCCATAGCTGGGCCCTTGGGGCCCATAGGTGGCCCTCCGGGGCCCCTGATGCCTCTACCTGGGCCCCTGGTGGCCCCTGGGTTTGTCCAATTCAGGGGTGGGAGCACCACGGAGTGGCCAGCATGCGACCCGCAGAGCTTGACGGGGCTGCTGCGAAGCGTGTGGGAGAAAGTGAGTACGCTGCTGGGCCGGCTGGATGCCTCGGGGTGTATGGCGTTGCTGGAGTCCGTGTGCCGCTTCGTGCTGCAGGAAACTGCTGCACTGGGGAGTCTGTTGCAGGGCCACTACGAGCAGCGGCGCTCGTCCTTCCTTCTGGTGGCTTTTGACCAGCTGGCGAGCGCCGCCGTGCGGCGGCCAGACCTGCAGCAGCAGCACTTCAGCAGCAGAGAAACAGTTCGAAGTTTGGCCCGGCTTATGAGGGCAGCTGGGAAATTCCCTCCGGCCCCCTGGCTCCCTGGTACGCTGCGGAGCCCTCTGGAGCTGCTGCTGCTGCAGTCTTCGGAAGCTGCTGCCAGCTACCTCGCCGAAGTGGTGGACGGCATCTGCGACAGAATGGACAAGGCCCCCAACAATGGCCCCCACGAGCCGCTGCTGCCGCAAGAGAAGCGGGCGCTGCAGCAGCTGGTGGAGACGCGGCGAAAGCAGCAGCTGCAACACCGCCTCGACAGTCTTTGGCTCAAAACTGTTGAAAGTAGGCTTTGTCCGGGTATTTTCTTCGGTCCTTCGGAGAGCCCAGACCACAATAATCCCTATTTCACAGAATTAAAAACAATCCAAACAGGCCTCGAAACTGCACTCAGCGACTGGAGAGAATTCAAGAACCAAAAGGGGGCCTCCGGCGCACCCGCTGGGGGCCCCAAAGAGGACCGCTCCGGAAAGGACCCCCAAAAAAGACCTGCAGAAAACTCAGAGGAAGACAGAAGTGGAGACAGAGTTGCAAATGAAGGTGCAAAAAAGGAAAAAAATGGAGTTGAAAAAGAAGGAGATAGGGAAGGAGAGAGGGAGGAAGCTGGGGATGAAGATGGAGGAGATGCAGGAAGGGAAAGAAAAGCAGAAACAAAAGTAGACCAGGAAAAAAAGAAGGAAAGAGAAGGAGAAGGAGAGAAGGAAAGAGAGAAAGAAAGAGAAGGAGAAACGGAGAACGAAGGAGAAGGAGAAAGAGAAACAGAAAGCGAAAAAGAAAGGGAAAAGGAGAGAGAAAGCGAGAAAGAAGGAGAGAAGGAAAAGGAGGGTGAAAGGGAAAAAGAAACAGGGCAGAAAACAGAAACAGAAATGAAAAGAGAAGGAGAAAAGGAAAGAGAGGAGGAGAAAGAACGAGAGAAGGAAAAAGAAAGAGAGAAGCAAAAAGAAAGAGAAGGGGGAGAACAAGGAGAAAAGGAAAAAGAAGGAGAGGAGGAAAAAGAAAGAGAAAAGGAAAAACAAGGAGAAAAGAAAAAAGGAGAAAAGGAAAAAGGCGAAAAGGAAAACCAAGGAGAAGAGGAGAAAGTAGGGAAGGAAAGAGGGAAGGAAAAAGAAAGCGAAGGCGAAAAAGAACGAGACGAGGAAAAAGAAAGAGAGAAGCAAAAAGAAAAAGACGAGCAAGGGGAGAAGGAAAGGGGAGGGCAAGGAGAAAGGGATAAGGAGAGAGAGAGAGAGCAGGAAAGACGAAAAGAAAGAGCAAGAGAAAAAGAAAAAGCAAAAGAAAAAGAAAGAGCAAGAGAAAAAGAAAGTGCCACAGAAAGAGAAAAAGAAAAAACAAGAGAAAGGGAAAAAGAAAAGGAAAATGAAAAAGCAAGAGAAAGGGAAAAAGAAAAGGAAAAGGAAAAAGCAAGAGAAAGGGAAAAAGAAAAGGAAAAGGAAAAAGCAAGAGAAAGGGAAAAAGAAAAGGAAAAAGAAAAAGAAAAGGAAAGAGAAAAAGCAAGAGAAAGAGAAAGACAGGAAAAAGAAAAAGAAAATGCAAAAGAAAGAGAAAGACAGGAAAGAGAAAAAGAAAAAGAAAGGGAAAGACAGGAAAAAGAAAGGGAAAGACAGGAAAAAGAAAAAGCAAAAGAAAGAGAAAGACAGGAAAAAGAAAAAGCAAGAGAAAGAGAAAGACAGGAAAAAGAAAAAGCAAGAGAAAGAGAAAGACAGGAAAAAGAAAAAGCAAGAGAAAGAGAAAGAGAAAGAGAAAGAGAAAGACAGGAAAAAGAAAAAGAAAGGGAAAGACAGGAAAAAGAAAAAGCGAGAGAAAGGGAAAGACAGGAAAAAGAAAAAGAAAGAGAAAGGGAAAGACAGGAAAAAGAAAAGGCAAGAGAAAGAGAAAGACAGGAAAAAGAAAGAGAAAGACAGGAGAAAGAAAAAGAAAGAGAAAGACAGGAAAAAGAGAAAGAAAAAGAAAAGGAAAGAGAAAGACAGGAAAAAGAGAAAGCAAGAGAAAGAGAAAGAGAAAGACAGGAAAAAGAAAAAGAAAGAGAAAGACAGGAAAAAGAAAAAGAAAGAGAAAGACAGGAAAAAGAAAAAGAAAGAGCAGGGGAAAGAGAAAGCGAAAGTGGTAGGAGTAGCAATAGAGTAGGAGATAAAGACACAGACAGGGAAAAAGAGAGAAGAAAAGAAAAAGAAAAGGAAGAAGAAAGAGAAAGAGGCAGAGACACAGACACAGACAGCGAAAGAAGTAGAAAGAGAGGCAGAAACAGTTACGGAGATACTGACACTGAGAACGACAGAGGGAGAAACAGAGACAGGGATGGAAATAAATTCACAGATAAAGGCACAGACACCAACGCAGATAAAGACAGAGACAGAGACGGAGATAATGAAAAGGGCAAGGCCTCAGAGGGCGGAGGAGACGGGGACTCTGAAAAGAAGACAAGTCCGGAGACCGAGCCGAAACCCGAGGTGGGGGCCCTTTTGGGGGCCCCTCTGACCCAGTTAGGGGCCCCAAAAACGGAGGCGAGGGGCCCCTCGAGAGATAGAAGAACCAAAAGCTTGAGAGGAGCGTGGAGAAGGGCGCAGTGGACGGCGTGGCTGCAGGCTCAGGAGGAGGAGCTTGATTCCGAAGAGGAGTCAGTTCGGGAGAGAGACACGGAATCACTTTTGGACTTCTTTTCGGATGCAGCTTCGCAGACAGACATGCGCAGGGGGAACTTCGATGAGGACATCGAGGGGGTGGAGCGACGGCGCTATGGGCGGGTGCAAGCAAACATTCCGCAACCAGAAATACCCCCCCGCTTTGAGCGAATGCTCAAGAGCTTCTCCGGAGCCTCCACGCGCACTGTTACTGCTGCTGCTGCTGCAGCAGCTGCAGCGGCTGGAGCGGCTGCAGGTAGGGCGGCCGGCCCGGAGCAGTCCCGCCTCGGGGGCATGCCGCGGCAGGCAGGGCAGCAGGAAGAGCAGCAACAACAGCAGCAGCAGCAAAGAGTTGGTTACCTGCAGCCCCCACGGGGGACCCAGAAATTCCACGAAGACACGAGGGGGGGCCCCGGAAAAGACCCCGGGACTTTCCCAAAGGAGACAGGGCCCTTCAGCTTTGGGCTTACAGAAGGCCAAACAGAGACACACGAGCTGCAGGAGGAGGGGCCCCATTACCCCCGCTGGTCCTCAGCAGACTCCCCAAGAACCCCCCCCTATTTGAGGGCTTCCTGGAGAGATGGACATCCTGGAGAGCATCATAAGCCCGAGGGCTTACCAACGGGGACAGGAGACTTCTCCCGCCCTCCCCCGGAGGCAGCAGCCTATGGCGGGGGTTCAGGGGGCTTCCCAGAAGCAGCACAGACCTACCCGAATCTGGGGGCTCCCTTCCGAAAGGAGCCAAGGCCCTTTGGAGAGACGACGGGGGCCTACGGGGAGCCAGGGGCCTATGGGGGGGCCGCAGCAGAGGCCTTTGGGCAGCAGGCAGGGCCCTTTACTGAAGAGACAGAGGCCTTTGGGGAGCCAGACGCCTATGAGGGGGAGCCGGGGACCTATGAGGACACAGGGGACTATGGGGAGGAGACAGGGGCCTACAGCAAGGGGCCCCCGGAATATCCGGAGAGTGGTGAGGCCTACGCAGAGGGGCCCTGGGTCTACTCTGAAGAACCACAGGGCTATTGGGGGGAGCCAGGGACTTACGGCGAAGCGGCCTACGGCTATGGGCAAGTGGCTGGGCCCTATGGAGAGGTCACTTTTGCCTATCCTGGGGACTCTACAGCTTACTGGGGTCTCCCACAATCCACTCCGACAGACCCAGCAGCAGCGCAGAAGCAGCAGCCGCCCGGGTCCGGGGCGCCCTGGCCCTACACGGGGAGCTCTCACGGCATGCCGGGGCCGGAGGGCCCCTTCCCGGGGCCCCCCGAGGCCTACCCTGGGGAGGCCACTGGTTATGCGGAGGGCCCCCAGCCCTACGGTGACGAGACCACTGGTTACATGCCGTCCCAGGAGGGCTTTTTTGGGATTCCTCAGGTCTATTATGGCGTGTCCAACCCCTTCGAAGCGGGGGTAGCCGGTCCGGAGAAAATGGGGGCCTTCTACGGTAGCACGCAAGGCTACGGCGAGGCAGGCCTCTACTATGCGCCGGGAGGGCAATACACACTCTACGGGACTGAAGGGGGGCCCGCCTACGGCGAGGCAGGGGCGCCATATAGCGAGGAAGGGGCCCCCTACAGCGAGAACGGGGGCCCCTACAGCGAGGGAGGAGCCCCCCCCAGCGAGACAGGGGCCCAATACAGCGAGGGAG